AAGCAAGAATCCTAAAGGAACATGAGAAGGGTTATAGTGATAAAATATAGTTTATGCCACCTGGTGGCAGTTCTCAATTTTAGTTTAAATTGTCAAGGTTTGTTCTAGCCTCTGACTTGCACATTTAAGAGCAGCAATAACCCCAAGAACATTTCTGTTAGTTGGTGCTAATTTCCACAGCCTTTTCTGGAATTTAGGTTAGGATATGAAGGTTGCATCCTCTGTCTTCTAGTTTTACCAAAAGGGTTGTCTGCTATTTGTTCACCTGGCTTTACTCTCTCCTAACTTCCACCCTACACAAAATAAATCATTCCTGTATACTTAAGAATATCAAGTGGAAGGCTAGATCCAACAGTCAGTGGGGCAGTGCCTACATTCTAGAGCTCAATACATCTTATTCCAAGGCAATGCTATATTTTATGTCATGAAACTAGGAGAATGAATATTAGTTAAAAAACAAAGGAGTTACCAGAACTGAAATTTGGAACCCACCAAGATTTACAGGTTCTCGTTCCTTGCTTTAACTGTTCGTTCCATGGTGATAACCTAGGCAGCTTGTCCAGGCCACACTGAGTGATGAGGAATTTTCCGGAGCCTCAGACAAAACATACAGTAGAGAGCCGAGCCTGTCTGTAACACTGGCAGAGGGAAATGGGTGCACAATGATTTCAAGCTGAAGTCCTGTCAGGGCAACTTAGTGAGAACCTATCTCTAAATTTAAAAAGTTAATAAATAAATGTATGTATTTCTGGGAATGTAGCTCTGTGGCAAAACATCTCTGGGTTTGAGCCCTGATATCTGAGGTGAAAACATATAAAATAAATTTCAAAAAGTTCAAAACTTCCTTTATTTGTTACTATATTCCATATTTGTTACTATAACATTAAAGAAATAAAAGCATGCGAGTGGACTGCAGCTGAACTCGGACACACCTGAGTCTAGACCTTACTTTATTGTAACCAGACTTATTCCACTTCACTAAAACCCTGTCTTTTAAGCTCATTCTTCCCAATGTTCTCCTTCCATTACTTTCTCAAACTCAGTAGGAATGCCAAGGTGTTAGATGCCAAACAGTAAGAACTAGAAACAAACACATTTGCATGCATTTGCAACAACATGCTGATCTCTGCCTTCCACAACACTCTGGAGAAAACAAACCAGATCCTCCCATATCCCCAGGAGATCTAACTTATCTCAAATGTTCTAAATCCACAGGACTACAACCAAGGTGGAGTGGCCCTCATCTGGTTTACTTGGTTACCCCTACAGCAGTCAAAGTTGCTGGACTCCCATCCTGTTTTCACATCACTCAGGCTAAGAGGTGCCCTCCCAGCCCTAAATCTGATCATTCTGAGTGGTCATCTCATCTTCTGTTGCCCACCCTTCTCGTCTCACAAAGGCCTCGCAGCCACAGTTAACAGGCTGTCATATTTTGTTATCCACTTTGGTTCCTAATTCCTTACATTCTATTAATGATCATTTTTACAGGACTCTTTAACAGTACTGCCTACAGACTCCATGTCATGCATACCAGAGACAAGCCTTACTGACCTACCTCTTAATTTTTATGCTTTCAGATGGGGGACTAATCACCTCTCATAACATCATTCCTCCTAACCTCACACTTATTTTTCAGAATTCTGCCTTACCGTGGAAATGTTCCTACCTCAACGTCATCCTGATATAATGACATGTCTAAATCAAAGGCACCTTTCCTTCTGTCTCACCTGGGTCCTTAAATACGACAATGCCATGTCTCCTCATAACATCTTGTCTCTTTGTTTTTCCAGTCTAACATACGTGCATTCACCAGTGAAGTTGTCTTGGCTAAAACACCTGGCACCAGCTTCTACCTGGGCATCAACCGTCATCCCGTCGACTCCCCTAGGCTCCAGTACAGCGCCCTCTGACAGCAGTAAGTAGTTAAAGAGAGAAATCTTTGCTCCTTTTCATAATAATAATCATAAGATGGGATATGAAAGGGTTTTGGCCCAGGCCGGACACTGTAACCGGAACCAGGAAGCGCCTATCTCCCCCACCCTTAGGAATTTACCTGTGACGCCATCTTCCCCTCCCCTGGGAATTTGTCTATGGCGCCAAACCTAGGACCAATGGGCTACCCATGCATCCCTGATGCCCCCTTAGGTTCCACCCCAAACCTAGGCTACTCACATACCCTCCACGCCACGTGTCCGCTGGAGAGATTGCCGGACTCCAGAGGTGGGGGGTGCCCGTCATCTCTCTCTGTGTTCTCAGTATAAAGGCCACTTTTTGTTTTATACTTCTCATCTTTTGGAAATATTTTTCATCTTTTGGAAATAATCCTATCATTTTCCTCAGGAATATATGCATACATATAAATGTTTGCATTTAACTCCAAAGGATTCTTAGATCCACATTATTAAGAAATTCTGAGGTAAAAAACCACTAACCTGCTAGACATAGTGGTGTATGCCTATAATCCCAGCACTGAGGAGGCTGAGGCAGGAGGATCACTGTTAGAGGCCTGCCTGGGCTACATAAACAAATTCAAGGCCAGCCTGCCTCCTAAAACACCTAAATAAATAAATAAACTAACCTAAACAACCAAAGATTCCATGTTCTGTTAATTATCTCCATGGCTTTGGGGATACTGGTAAGATATTTGAATTATTTCACCTAAAAATGTACTGAAAGTTTCAGTGATAATTATTGAGAAATGACCCCATGTTTACCACTGGAAAAATGTAGATAAAGGATTATTTGCCACGATGCAAGATTATTTTTTACTGGAAAAGGAAAAATAAACTTTTACCATAGAACTGTCACAAGCTTATATAAATGAACCAAATGGCAATAGTGGAACAAATCTGATGTTACACATCTCTGAATGTGATGAATTGCAAAATATGATCTATGAAATATCCTTGTCCATTCCTTTCAGTCTGAAGTATTCATGCTTCTATAACTTGCAGTGTAGACAAAATACAAAATCTAGATGTACAATTCAGATTAAGATCATTCTTCAGTGTAATTGATTAGCTATTTTAAAGGAAAAAAATTGTATTACTGTAGGGAAATCGATTAGAAGTTTTAAATTAAAAGAGATCAAAGAAACTTAAAACCTATCTTTGAGGAGCAATGATTCCTAGGACCATGTTTTAAAACAAATTTTATACAAAAAAGCATTTTATGAAGTTAGTGAAATCTAAATATTGACTAAGTATTGCACAACAGTAAACAAGAATTACTTCAAAGGTGGGTCAAAGGTACATACAGGACAATGTCCTATGGGAGATTGTTATACACTAACAAAAAGAGCTTCACTATGTTTGTGTTATGCCCAAGTTATATGATCAAAGTACCTGTAGCTCTGTCATATTGTTCTATATGTGCCTTTTTCCTGGGTGACCTACTTGATATGTTAATCATTGCTTCCTCTGCAAAGGACTGTAAATTCCTGGGAATCTGACCTAATTGATATGTTAACCACTGCTGCCTTCTGCAAATGACAGATGTTATCTAAAATTGAGTGCTAAAATAAGTTGACAAAGGATTGTAAATTCCTGCAAGACTTCTCTGTCCTCTACAAAGGGAAACAAAGGTCTTCCTCATTCTTTAGCAGATCAAAGATTTTCTCATTTCCTGATCCACTACCATAACCCCTTACTTTGTAAATCGTGCTTTCTACAAAAAAGTCTAAATTAAAGTTTGGAGGGAGACACACAGCTTTTGTAAACTCCAACTGCACTGTGTCGCTGGGCCCAGGATAAAATAAATCAGTGCTGCTTTTTTAAAAACATGTCTTGCCCCATTTTTTGGACACCAAGTTGGGGGAGCTCTGGGGGGCTTGTTTTTGGCTACAAGAAGACATTTGTATATAATGATAAGGAGTGTCTTATGTACAATTTGCAATTCTGATCAAACAAAAACTACATACATATATGTATACATATAAATACATGATAAATACGACTAAGTATTTGAACTGTGATGGTATGTATGATTTTTGTTTACCTTTTCTGAATTTAAAATATTCAGAATAAGTTGGAAAAAAGTAAATGTACTTCCCACCCATCTCTAAGAGTCCATTTCGTGTTTTATCTGTAAAGTTTTCTTGTGATCCTAGGATAAAACTCGGTTCTCCACTCTCCAAATTTCCCTGATATTTTGAAATTTAGCACTTAACTTTCTGCCTTGTTGGGGAACATATTGTAAACTCCTAGGGGACAAAGTGAGGGAGTACAATTATAGAAATTAAACAATTAAACAATTAAATTAGAATGAATTTTATGGACGGTTCTTAATAACAAAAGAAAATGTTAAGCTAAAGCAAAACGATTTAAAGGTGAGATGACAAAAGCTTCAACTAGAATGGCAGCAGTGAAGGTAAAAGTCCTGGGAAAACGGGAAATGTTTAGTTTCCAGGCCTGGCTTGCCTCTAGGGTTTTATTAACTTTCAGAACTAGTGTGAGACCCCATCTGTAAATACCCAAACCTGCACAGCTTTCTACCCACAACTACCGACTCCGACAGGGTCTAAGGGCAAGGCAAAGTGACTTTACAGCAGAACTCTTCTGAAACCCATTCACTGAGCGCTCCTGGAGCTTTGCACAGCCTCACCCTTCACCTCGATTTCCAAAGACACCTCAAATCCCCGCATGAGCGGAACAAATCGCTCCCGGGATGTTCGCAGAGGCCAAGTTTCTCTAAGCAACTAACTAGCAATTGTTTACATTTTTCTGACACAAGCACCCTCTTGGCTTTAGCTCAGGTTTGACAGGCGAGTGTACTTTGAACCTCGGGATTAAAAGTTCAGCCCACAGCTGTCTCTGGGTAACTGTCCGCAGACCGGACCGCTATGTGGGATGACCTCCCACAGAGTCCAAGACAACAGGCCAAAGCGCTTCGGGGACGCCCCTGAGCGCCGCCCTCTTCCAAGGTCGTCAGCCCGGTGCTGAAGGCCTCACCGAGCATGCGCAGAGACAAGCCGCGCATAGCCGCGCATGCGCTCCCCGGGCGTTCCCTCCAAGAGCCCCGCCCCTCCCCCGGGCACGCCCACAACCCGGCGGACAAGACCTGCGAGCTCCCTTCTTGGCTCCTCGAGCTTCCGCGGCGATCTGAGGGCAAGCGTTGGTGAACATGGCAGCGGTGCTCAGGAGAAGCTGCAGGGTGAGGGAGCCAGGACCGCGGTGGGGCTGGGGCGCGGATGTGGCGGTGGTGGTGGCTGTAGTGGTGGGAAGGGAGGCGACGCGATGGTCTCGGGCTCCACTCGCGCCCCGCGCCCCGCGCCCCGCGTCCTCCCTTCCCGCTCCGAGAGCGCCTGCCCTCGCGGGCCGCGCACCCCACTCTCCGGCCAACTCTCGCCCCGGGCCCGGAGCCCCGCAGACCGGCCCCTGGGAGCCCACGCACCTTCTCCGGGAGTGAAACGAGCCCTCCGCTAGGCTGTCAGGACCCCGCAGAAAACCCACCAGCCCCGCGTCCCCAGCCCGGGAGCGAAGTGACAGGCGTGACCTGCCGGGCGTGAGGTGCTGGGGTGCGGGTAGCCGGGCCTGGGGCGCCCGCAGCTTCGGGACTGGGGGAGAAAGCTGCGTTTAGGGCGTTTAATGCGTTGGGTTCTCCTTTGGCCTCTTAAGAGGCGGGAGCGCCCGTCCGGGCGCATAAGTTAAACCGGAGTCAAAGAAAAGCCCAAGTGCAGAACTTTTCACGGAACTAGTCTATGTATGTAGGGTTACCTTAGATTTAAACGCCGTTGATTGCTTGACTATAATGATACACTTGCGAGACTGCCATTTAGAGGACAAGTGAAAAAGGAATTAAAGTTGCCCCCAAAACCCTGCCGTTTTAGAATTTACAAAAATTGTGTTACTGCCCGGTTTTTGTGATTGCTAGACAAGTTAGTGGACTCTGAAGGGAAAGATGAAGGGATCTTTTAAAATTATTTTTAACTCTGACATCAGAAAAATTTCTGTCTCCAAGGAAGGATCTAGAAAAAAACTGAATCACAAAGCTTATTTTCGTATATCTCCTTTGATATTCCTGTAAGTGCACATAATTTTTAAGAAAGCAGTGGGGGTATTTCGTTCTGGTGATATTGTTGCAGAACTGATAATTGATTAAAATTATTGTCTTGTGGCTGTTTTGCAGTTCTGAGCAAAGAGCCTGAAATCGGTATTTTATGACAATTATTATGTATTGCAAATGTATACTAATAAGAAAAAGAAAACAAAAACAGTCTTCCTGATATCCTCCTTAGACACTTAGGAATAGAAGCTAAAAGTTTGTAAACTGTCCTCAAACTCAGCAATTCCAAGGAGCAATGTTTTGGTTCTGCTTCCAAGTGCCTCCCTAAAGGATTGACATTATTGTGCAGTTAACGGGGTCAGTAAGTAGTGATCTGTGGCAATCTTTGCACTTCGTTTTACATAACCTGTTTTCTAGAAAAATCATGATGTAAATGGGCTTTTTATAAAGTACTTAAACATTAAACAATTTTACCTGTCTTGTGAGGAGTGGCTTTTGTGCTGTGTGTTTCAAACACATTTATAATAGAATCCGGTTATTAGGTCTGGTTTTTATGGGGCGTGGTTTTTGTGTGTGTGTGTGTGTGTGTGTGTGTGTGTGTGTGTGTGTGTGGTACTACTGACCAGTTAGAAGGCTGGCTGAAAGAGCAGTATGGAAAGCTGGCTGATAGCATAGACTCTTGAGAGTAAATGTGAGAAGTTAGAATCCTCCCAGATTCTGCTACCTAAACGCAAAGCGACCCTGACTAATTTACCTGACCTTTGTGTCTCTCAGTTCTTCCCTGTGTAAAGTAAGGATAAAACTGGTGCCTCCCCTCAGCACCACCTGGGATTTCAGGGGACTGATAAGTGCTGTGAAGAATACATTTGTTCTGTGAGGACTGGACAGGAGGACAAGAGAACCACATTTTTCTCCCAAAGTAGTTAATGAAAATTGGAAAGGATATGTTTTCATACAGCATAATAATTTTTTTGGAATTATAGTTCAATGTAATTTTGAAAGGGCTAAAGTACATATTCGATAGTAATTATATTTAAAGGTGGACAGATCTCTTTATTGGTTAAAATTGTTACTTGCAAAGTGAACAGTTTATTTTTACATATTTTGAAAAACAAATTTGGTTGTAGAAATTGTTACACTGTTCACCTTTTTTAGAGTTCCATTAAAATCCTGTAAAATGTAAATTGTGTAATTTTGCCTGTCTTCAAACCTTTGGGAACACCTTTGTGGCTTTCAGTTTAACTTCAATAAGTGCTAGAGGTTTGCAGGTTAACTTTAACTGTGCTAATCACTTCTTTTGTTTCATTAAGTTGCCATTAATATAAAAATAGGTGATACATGTGTATTACCTAGTATTCTGGAAGCTGAGGCAGGAGGATTGCCATGAGTTCAAGGCCTCCCTGGACTGTACAGCAAGACCTTGTCTCAAAAAATAAAAACAAGTTATAAAGGAATACTATTTTTATATCTGTTTGTATTTTTAATACATCATTTTGAAGGAATATGAATATATTTTAGCTGTTAAGTGTATTAATAGAACAGACTTCAGCAAATAGTTGGCAAACTTTTTGTGAATGCTGTGGTCTCTGGCAACCACGTAGCTTCATGGTGAGAACAGCAATAGATAATATGACTGTGTTTCAGTAAAAATTCTTTAAGAAATATGGCTGCCTTAGTTTGCTGGTCCCTGGCTTAGAACACTGTAAGAATGCCTGTGGAGAAGTGCAAAGGTAAAGCATGGTTTTATGCTAATTTGTTTTGTTAGATAAAGTATCTTAGAAAGAAAATAGTAAATGATACCCGTTTTGTTAGATAGGTATCTTGGAAAATGTGATCCTCCAAAGGGAAGTTTCTCAGAGGCATGTGGAAGAAGGATTAAAATTGATGGGTCCTAGTACTGTGTTCAAGTCTCAAATATAGTAGGATTTCATCTGTTACTCTCTTTATAACACTATGTCCTAGGAGCTTGTTGGTAAAATTTCCAGAACAGTGACCCTAAGTCTATTACTTGCCTTATTATCCTGAAACCTCTCTGTCTCAGTACTGAAGATACAACCAATTAGTTTTATTTTCCATTTTTTAATAGCCTGTATGATATTCATATTGGCTTATTTAACATCCTATAGCTTTTCATATTGGCTTATTTAAGTTTCTAATTGAAGGTGTTTAATAATGACTTTAAAAATAAGATTGTATGTTTAAACAAGTGGCTATACTTAGTTATACTGATCAGTGTTAATATGATTCTTAATTTGTCAAATTTATTCTCTAAATAGGATTCTTTTTTTCTTAATTTAAAGAGAAAGAAGAAAGGACATAAAAAAACAAAGCAGTAAAAGGCCTTGTACAAGTAATACAGAATTTCAAGAAAAGAATATACAGTAAGAAATCACTAGTTAATAGGTTACATATTGTCTTCTTAGAAACAGTTGTCCAAATTATAAAATTAAAGCATATAAAGTGGACATTCATACAGTGAGATTGGAGACAGTTACGTTCAATGATCCAACAAAAGTTCAGTAATATGGTTTTCCATCCTACACACTCAAACATACATGCGGTTATATCCCTTAGTCCACCTTCCTTTCCTCTCTTTTACAATAACAAGTACACGTTTTGGGTTTTATTACTCCCACAGTTCGTATCACTTTTTTTTTTGAAGAGAATAAAACCAAACGTGACTAAGCAAAACAGAGTCAGTTAGAACAGAAGGATGGGCATAGTACATGATGCAAAAATAGAATACCAGGTGATCAAAAGTGGTTACCATTGTGCCTCCTGCTATTTTTAAATTGAGTTGCCTATATCATCAGGTTAAATAGGATTCTTAATTTATCAAATGTATTTTAATTTGTCTTTTACAGGTCCTAAGAAGTATTTCTCATTTCCAGTGGAGATCACAACATACAAAAGCTTCTCACAAACATGAACCAGGATTAGGATATAGTTTCGGTATATGTTCTGTTCTGTCTGTTGAGTTTAAAATACATATTTCTGGAGTGTGTTTGTAAACTTGATAATGACATTCAGAGAGTAGAACCAATCACCATCCACAGATGTTTTCGTTTTGTTCTCCAACATAGTACCATATGCATTTGATACATTAACAGCATATATGTTGTATATGTATATGTATATACATACACACACACACTCCTTCCCTTTTTCCTAAGTGCATAGCTCAAAATAAAGGGCCAACTTGATATAGCTAAATAGTTTTTAATGTACACATATGAATGCAACAGATGCTTCTTACACACTAGATATGCAAAGCTAGGTAACTTTTAATAATGCATCAGAGCCTGTCATGACAATGTTTGAACTGCAGTTTTGTGGAGTATTAGGTGAAGTTCTCAGACCTGGGATAGGGAAAGATGAGATGTCACTGAGAAGAGGAGTCAGATTTTCCTTTCCTTTTCTAAAATAAAAAGCCAAGGCAAAGAAACATGAAATAATGTAATGGTATCTTATCTTCTAAGCCATACAGAGAGCTTCTTGTTTCAGAATTCTAACTTTCCCTGTTTCAGAATTTTCACCTTTCCTGTGATCTCATCTGCATCTCAGTTCACTTGATCTTAGAAAAGGGTTATCAGAGAGCACAAAGAAGAATTTCACACCCAGGTGCGGTTGACAGTCTCAAACTCTGTAGGGTTCTTGTCTTGGTTCAAGACCCCCCCCCATCCTTAAAGTTTTTTGCCTGAATTAAATGAAAAATTTGGGGTCTAGAGATGTAACTCAGGCCCAGTGCTTCCCTGGCACGTCAAGTGTGAAGTCCTGTATGGGATTCCTAGTGCCCCCCGCTCCAAGGAAAATACATAAATAAATGAATTTTTTTTTTTTTAATAGGGTGAGGATAGCAGTTTGGTTCAGTGGGTCGTTCTGAGATACTAGCATAGATTGGTGTGATTGCTGTTCAGTTTCAGCTTGTTGCATATGTACTCAGAGTTAGACTAGTGGGAGAAATTTATGATAACTTTCTGAGAGAAGTAATTGGGACAAAGATTGTGACGCTCAAGGGAAAGAATATAGATAACAGTTATCAGCTAATTTGATTCTTCATAAACTGATGATAATGTCTGTCTAGAACACAAGATTTCTTTGAGGATTAAATTCTGTGCCGCTGGACACCAGGGCAGGCATGAGATCATGAGTTTGATCTCCAAAACCAAAATAAAAAAAGGGGGTTAAATTATACACTGTTTATGAAGTCCCTAGCATATCATGACTGGATCAAAGTAGTTGCTAAACAAAATATACCCAATAGATCCTCGTCTTTCCTACCCTTCATCCACCCACAACCTTGACAAGGATGGTCCTCAACCTTAGTGGTGAAGTTGTAATTTAGAAAACACTGGACCAAAACACTATACCTCTACTAATTCATTGTAAGACTAAGAGGCTGTCATTTCCTCTCTCCGTACATTATGTACCTTATCTGTAAAATGAGAGATTTAATCTTCTGTTCTTCAATTCAGCACCAAAATTCTACTGCCTTTACATTTCTTTCATGTCCCCACTTTCTTCTTTGCTTTTGCTCTCAGTCTTCTTGCTTGAATAACCCTATATTCTTTTATTTATTTGCTGATGTTGGATGCAACCACATTAAAATGCTAGATAGTATGGAGATGAAAAAATGCAGTTAGTTGATTCTTTGGTCCAGCCATCATACACATTTCATTAGTTTTACAACAAGTCTATTTTTTATAAATGGGTAGTTTGGACACATTACTGGCAGTGCAGCGGAGTTTTATAGTACTGTCTTTTGAGAAATTTTCCCATCACACTTAGGACTTTCTTTAAACTCTGAGCAATTTAAAGTCTAAAAATTAGCATAAAAGAGTAAAATGGAAATTATGGTATTGCCCATGCTCAGGCAGTTGGTTGAAAGAAGCTTTGTTGCTGTTTGGTCAGAATGTATCACATTTCTTTAGACGGGGTCCCATGACTAGGAGCATTTCTTAGACATTAGGTTCACCTTAGCCTTAGTCAATATTTGATAAACCTGCTTGCAAACTAGAAATAAAAATTATGTATGTATATTTACCTTAACAATCAAAAAAGAAGCAGCTCTGTGAATTTATAGCTATTCATTTTTTGTAGATATTAAAAAGCTTACCTGCTTCCTTCAGCATTAGTGTTGACAGATTTGTTCATACTGTACAGTAAAATTGTCAGTCTCAAATTACAGTGTAGTCTTCCACTTTCTGGTTAATCAAGGGTAAATATTCACATTATAATTACAAATTTCTACATATGGCTTTATAGGACTTCTTTTCTCAACTCATTTTTTATGTTTTAATGTTTCCTAAATAACTCTTCCTTAGAGTTGACCGAACAGCAGAAAGAATTTCAAGCTACTGCTCGTAAATTTGCCAGGGAGGAAGTAATCCCAGTTGCTGCAGAACATGATAAAACTGGCGCAGTAAGTATACACATATTTAATGAGAAAGACATCTCAAATATTTTATGAGATCATGTGCTCAAACTTTAAATGATAAATACATTTTAACTCTGTTCTTCCCTTTTTCTTTTCTTTTAGTATCCTGTGGCCCTAATTAAGAGAGCCTGGGAGCTTGGTTTAATGAATACACATATTCCACAGAGTTGTGGTAATCTTTCATCACATTTTTAATCCCCCAATAGATATGAAAAAGAAATATATGAAACTTTACTCATTCTTTTAAACATTTGTTGACTGTAAATGGCTTGCTTTCGGTGCTTCCCCATTCAGATTATAATATTTGCCTGCTTTTAAATGCCTGTACTCAACACTGACAGGCACTTTTTCCTCTTTTTAACTGGTTCCAATCTTACTTTGGTCCTGATTTTGGTGACTTCTTGAGGATAATTGATCACTTTGTTGCATTTCATTGTGTTACTTTTTTTTCAATTAAAAAAATGGGATTATAGGTATGCACTGCTATGCCTGGCCCAATTTTACATTTTAGGAGGGTTAAGAAGGGGTGCTACTCCTTTTCAACCTATGTGTGTATATGGATTTATGACATTAAGCCAAATGTAAGCAACATACTTAGGTACAGTGATGTTTCTGGGATTTCAAGAAAGTGTCATAATTTCCATGCATTTTAATCCTACTTTCTGTTTCACCTCTTACTGAGATTGTTTTTGTGTGTGTGATAGTTTCTCTCTTTAACAAATCAGTGTGTTCATGCTTTATGGGAGCTAAAGCAAGTTTTCACAAAATCACAAAAGTCTAGATTATAAGTAAATACTTTTTTGAAAAACTTAAAATTTATTTTAGAAAAGTATGATTTCTTGTTTTTGCTTTTGTCAGAATATTTACATATATTATAATTATACATTTGCTTTTTCAACAAGTCAGACTATATTGGAAGCAATTAAAATAGCTCTCCTTTATTTTGATGGAGATTCAGTAGATATTATAATTGGCTTTTAAAACATTTTGAAACCATAGGAGGTCTTGGACTTGGATCTTTTGATGCATGTTTAATTACTGAAGAATTGGCGTATGGATGTACAGGGTTTCAAACTGCTGCTGAAGCAAATTCCTTGGGGGTAAGTTACTTAGAAAACTAGTTTCCTACTGTTCTCTTCACCTTGTAGCTAAGTACCCTTGATTGACAAAACAGTTTTTTTAAAGAATATAAGCTTCAGCAGTAAAGCCTGGAGTTTTGATTCCAAGGCTTGTTCAGCTCTTGTTCTGGTGTCTGCATTACCCAGATTCTTAACAGTCCTTGTGGGGAAACTGTATACTTTGGCTGTAGTTGCTCTGACTGTAGCTGCTGTGGGAATTCTTAGCCAAGGGCAAGGCCTAAAGCCAGTATTCACAAGCTGATCAAGTTGTCTGGCTACCCCTGCTGGCAGTGGTGAAACTTAGGGAGCAGTCCTGAGGAAACGGGAGGCTTGTTGGTGAGCAGCATGTCACATGTCTTAAATGTAATGCTTTATAAAAAAAAAAAAATGTAATGCTTTATTTGAGCATTTTACTGTGGTAGACTTTTATCTGTTGCATCACCAGCAAGTCCTCCATGTAACTTAATATGTATATGTATATACTTAATATGTATATACTGAGATTAGCACATGTATTTCCTCATGGTTTTTGGCTTTTTAACTTAGAAGCAAAATACATACAAGTTCTTTGAACTTGCTCTTTGGTGGGGGTAGTTCTTTTGATTTCAGTTGTAGTGTCAGAATTTACATATGTTATAAAAATAATCTGATCTTTTAATGTCAATTTTCATTGTCAGCAAATGCCTGTTGTTATTGCTGGAAATAATCAACAACAAAAGAAGTACTTGGGAAGGATGACTGAGGAACCAATCATGTGTGTGAGTGTGTACAGCTGCTACTTTGTTTCACATGTCAGGTTTTTTTTCTTCATTGTTCCAAGGGTTGAACTCAGGGCCTTAGCCTTTTATTTTCTTTTGAGATAGGATCTGGCTAAGTTTCCCATGCTGGTATTGGATCTGTAATCCTCCTGTCTCAGCCTCCTAGGTAGCTGGGATTATAGGTATGCACTGCTATGCCTGGTTCAATTTTACATTTTAGGTGGGTTAAGAAGGGGTGCTGTTACTCCTTTTCAACCTATGTGTGTATATGGACTTACGACATTAAGCCAAATGTAAGCAACATATTTAGGTGTAGTGATGTTTCTGGAATTTAAAGCAAGTGTCATAATAATTCCCCTGCTTATTTCCATGCGAGATATACCTACTTCATGTTTTTAGAATCCCAAAAAATGTCAGAATAATCTCCTTGCTTTCAGAAGAGTTATATTGACTTTATGGAAAAATATCTACCTAGCTTTGTTCTTCAAGAACTGGGTGGTTCGTCTAAGAGACCACTTCTGAAGGACTTGAGATCAAATTTCAAATTTCTCATTTTGGTGTCTGTAGTACCCAGATTCTTAAAATTATAGCTTTCTGAAATAATAGCATTAAAAGCAATTCAATAAATTTTTTTTCTTTTTTCTTTTGATGGTACTGGAGATTGAACCCAGAGCTTTCACACTGACCTACATGCCTGGCCCTCTTTTAATTTATGACTCAGAGTGTCACTTAATTGCCTAGACTGCGCTTGAATTTGTGATCCTCCTCCTCAGCCTGTCAGCGTGCTAGGATTATAGGTATACACCACCACACCTGGCAATTTAATAAATAGTTAAACTGGAGTTTTGAGAAAAGATACTAATGGAAACTGAGTCTATTCTAAAACTATTCTTTACCTAAAAATTTTTATTGGTTGTTAGTCAGATATTTTAATCAGTATGTGATTGTGCCACTGAAATATAGTAGATTATTAATTTTAAACTAATTGTGAAACTTTACCCTAAAGAGTACAAAGTAATAATTAAAAACAAATGTTTTTTTCATTTATTTCAAATACCTTAAGATCAGGAAAACTGCTTAATACGTTTGTGCATATTTCCTGATAATTGGTAATTACTCAGCAAGTAGTGTAGGCTAAACATTCTCAGTGTTGGCCAGGTATAGTATATCAATTGTATGTTCATGATACCTTTTAATAACATGAACACTTTCCTATGTTCTACTGCCTTTTAAATGCTATAGTATTTATTACTGCACGGTATACTATCTACTACATGACTACAAATTATTTTACTTTATTGTTTAAACATCTTAGATTTTTATTTTTTAAAGTAATACCATCATAAAAACTAGTGCAGGTTTTTGGATTTAAAGTTACAGCTAGTGTACATTTGTTGCTGTGTCTCCCTAAGACTTACTTGATCATGTGGTTAGAGATATTCTTGCTGAGGAAAAACATAGAGATGAATAAATAAAGGCAAAACTATAAGCTTTAAATAAGATTTAATGCAAAAATATTTCTTAAAATCAAAATTAATACATTTATATATTACTAAAATATGAAAATAGAAACAATATTTCATTTTTAAACATTGGGTTCAATTTTTTAAACAGGGTACACTTACAATACATTTGATATTAGAATACAGTGTTAAGACTATTCAACACTTCTTGACTTTTTGGCTAAGATCAACTGTAGACTATTTGATGAACTTGAAAACATTCAGTAAAACTCATTTGTCTAAAAATAGTCTTAGAAGCCACAAATCTGTGTAAAAAACCTAAGAGTAAAGCAAACTGTTGTTACAAGGCCATGTATTTCCCCTGGAGCTGGCAGATACTTGGAATGTGCCTGAAACCACCCTGAATTTGGAGACTGAAGGTGTGTTGGCCATCTTGGCTTAGTCATACGATAGCAGTGTGGTCTTAAATATGTGTAGCAATTAACCTCAAAGACTTTTTCTAAAAATAAAGTTAAATACCTGGAAGAATTATAGTAAACACAAGATACTTCCATGTTGATAGGAATATCTTCACTCAGTCCCCATTTTACAAAAACAGTTTAAAGAAATATCTTTTATACTTAGTAACTAAGACCATTAAGAGACTGCTCTGTTTCTACACATAAGATTTTAAATTCTTTGTACGATATAATGACATCCTTGTTCTTCTTTATTTTTTCCAGAATCATAGCCTACTGTTCCCTTACACACACAGTATTCATGTATTGTATAACTCTGGTATTTTTTCAGCCTTACAAACACCCGGTAACCCTGTTTCTTGGTATTACTGCATATGCTGTACTTACGCCTATAATACCCTTTTCTTCTCTTTTGTTTTTTTCCCAGAGGATCCCTTTTCTATTTGAGATTTAATGTATGCATCCTTTCTGAAAGTTTCTCAAGTCTCTCCTGTATAACTTTCACACTTAGACTAGAATTACAATGTAGTTATTTATCTCCATGTTAATACTATGAAAATCTCTAGGAGCGTGTATCTTTCAGCTCTGGTTTCTCCATCTCATAGTTCATAGCCAGGTACATAGTAGGTACTCAGTAGATATTTGAGAAAGGTAGTACAATATAAATTGAATTGAATGAACTTATTTGAAGATACCTAATGTTTCAATTAGGTATATAATTCAAAATAGCTTATTTTCATATTTCGTATTTCATTTATATATTCAATATAGCTTATTTTAATTTACATATGAAATGTTTTTACTTTTGAGCCATGTAACTGTTAAAGAATATTTTTATTGTAGGTGGTTTTTTAAATATTTGAAGTATTGATTTCAAAACTAGAATACAGAGATTGGAGTATAGCTCAGTGGTAGACCTTTTTTTTTTTTTTTTTTTTTACGGGGGGGGGTCTTTTTCGTTTTTATTGGTACCAGGGATCGAACTCACGACTGCCTGCTTGCAAGGCAGGCGCTTATGCCGCTGAGCTAAATCCCCAGCCCCCAGTGGTAGAGCATTTGCTTAGCAAGAACTAGCATGCACTAGGTAGTCCAAAATTAAAACAAAATTTTACTGTCCAAAAATTCAAAATCCAATACTTTTTTCTTTTTGGTACCAGGAATCAAACTCACTACTGTGTACTTACCAGGTAGATGCTTGTGCTGCTGAGCTATATCCCCAGCCCAAAATTTAATACTTAACATTTAGTTTTCTCTTATTTCCATATATTCAAGGCCTACTGTGTAACAGAACCTGGAGCAGGCTCTGATGTAGCTGGCATAAAGACGAAAGCAGAAAAAAAAGGAGATGAGTACATTATTAATGGTCAGAAGATGTGGATCACTAATGGAGGAAAAGCTAATTGGTATGATTTTGGCCATCTTTGTATATTTCTTAATTATTTTTATGTTCAGAATCTTTATTTTTAAACCACTTTTTTAAAAAGCCAAGTTCATGAAAAGAAGATTCTAAGCAATTTTACCGAACTATTTTTAAGCCCCTGAATTATTTATATCAGATTAATTCCAGTAAGTTTAATTTGTAAAATAAAAATAGTTACTCTGTGAACTCTTCACATAAATTAAGTAATATATTAAAATAGAAAAAAAACCTTTTCATCAGGCATGGTGGCACACACCTGTAATCCCAGTACTTGGGAGGCTGAGAGAGGAGGATCATTTTCGGTTTGAATTGGGTTTGAAGTCAGCTTGGGCTACAAAGTGTGCTGAAGGCCAGCCTGAACTGTATAGCAAAACCCTGTCTCAAAAAGACTAAATTATATTCAATGATAATTTGTTAGTTTTAAGCATAGAAAATATGTTGTTTAAGGAGAATGATGATTTTCTTTTTCTAGTGCTGCTTGAGATTCAATCTTGCACTTTGTACATGTTAAGTCAGTACGCCACTACTAAGCTGTACCCTGAGCTCTTTTTTGAGCAAAAATCCTCATAGAAGAAAGAACCAGAAAATACTCATAAAGATACAGCTATAACAAATATTCATTCTGCCGTTGCTGCAAAAAGGAGCAGTAATCAAAACATAAAACATAATAGTCAGAGCATAATGTTCCTATTCATAAGCAGCCTTGATTGCCATTTTTTTTAGATATCTGAAAAGAATAAAGTTGGTTTGGGGAAAGAAAAAAAATGCTAAAAACTTGGATATGGTTTCTTTTCATATTATATTATAAAACACAAGGAATTTTTACCTCAACTCATGCTAAATAATAGTTAAGGCATAGACCTTGGTGGAAATACAAGTTCCTCCAAATAGTAGGTATATGACTTTCACAAGTTTTGAAACCTGATTGTTCATTTTCTTGTGTGTAAAATGGGAGTAGCAATAATAGGGGTATTGGGCGGATTAACTGAGACAGCAATCACTTTGATTACTCACCATCATCATGTATGTGTTTGCATCAGGTACTTCTTATTGGCACGTTCTGATCCAGATCCCAAAGCTCCTGCAAGTAAAGCTTTCACTGGGTTTATTGTGGAAGCAGATAGCCCAGGAGTGCAGATTGGAAAAAAGGTAAAATGTGTATTTAACAGTGATCAAGGCCTCAGGTATTATTCTAACTAAATGTCAAATTACTATTTAGGCATCCTTTAGAGGAAGTATTTGTTTAGTTGGAATAAAAATAAAGCATTTTGATATCAGATGAAATACTTTATATGTTGCTGAAGTTTTAAATTGAGCAAAGTTATTTAGAATGATTGGTCCTTCAAAATACCAACCCTATTCAGAGAATGCTGGAAACAGCTGTGAGACAGTATGAACTAGAATCAAACTATCACTTAGATTGCCTTCTTTTTATTTATTTATTTTTTTATTTGGAGAAAACAAGCAAAACCGAAATTGAAATACTATCTTAGAATTTCTGATCTGTCTACTTAATTTTCTCGCTTAAAAAAATCTTTAGTTCAGTAAATACTTATTAATGAGTACACAGTATGACCTAGATACTCTTGTAAGTATTGGGAATAGTGTATTAATTAAAGCAGAAAAAATGTCTCTGAACTGGGGAACTTTCTAGTGAGAGGAACAGATAAATACATTGGATTAAACCTCTTTAAATTTTTTTAAATAAATGGTCATTTACAAATATGAAATTTGATGTTTTCAAAATGTTTTATGTTTTAGAAATTATATAATTTGAGAAGAGTCTAGGAAGCATGTTGGTTTTAAATGAGACTTGAAGGTGAATGGGGAGTAGGTTAAACATGGTTTTTGTAAGCAATGTTTTCTCTGTTTTTTTTTTTTTTATTTGGTACTGGGGATTGAACTCACAACCTTGAGCTTACCAGGCAGGCGCTTAAGTCACTGAGCTAAATCCTCAGCAATGTTTTCTCATTTTATCTGAAGGGTAGTCTGAGTTACTTGTCTTATTTACTTTTTCATTGCTGGGACAAAATATCTGACACCCACAGGTTAGAGAAGGAAAAGTTTATTTTAGCTCACAGTTTGAAGAGGTTTCAGTCTGCAGTCAGCAGGCTCCAAGGTAAGGGTATCGTGGCAGAGGGGCACTGTGGAGGAGAAACAGTCCATGGCAGAGCAGGCAGGAGGCAAAAGCGGGAGGTTCCCTTCAGCTTGCCCTTTTTCATTCTTTCCAGGTTACCAGCCTGTGGTAGGTGGCACCCACACACGGCATGGGCCTTCCACTTTCAGCAAATGCATTCAGTCACATCCAGAAGGATGCTAAGCTAATCAGTTACGAGCATGCTTTACTCAAGTTGTCACAACACTTAACTGTTACAGTACTAGAGTTTATTAACTTTTAAAGGCAAAATAAGGGGAACTTGGTGAGTCAAGCCACTATTATAACTATTTCTTCAAACCTAAAACCTTAATATTCATATTAATATTAATATCAATATTCATGGCCTTAATATTAAGGCCACCACAATAATTGAATTTATAACTCTGTGTTTTCATTGCCCTGGCTTCTGATCCTGATTATTAAAAACAAGGTCTTGGAGAGAACAGAGAACATGGTGGATAGATAACAGCAGGTACAGTGGCTTGCTGAGATAGCCAGCTTAGATTCCAGGAATGGTGTGGTGTGGAGAGTCCTAAGCAGGGGGAGATAACACCCTGCCAACCCAGGAACAAACTAATCTGAGAGAAACCAATTGGAAATGCAATCCTGGTGCTATGACTGGAACAGCTAAAGGCTCAGTGCCCCGCTGGAACCCACACCTCTGGAACCCACAGCTTGAATTCCCTGCCACTGCTGTATCTGAATCAGCACAGCAGGGATAGAAATGAGAAAGCTCTGAGAGTGGGAATCGGTGAACCGAATTGAGAGCAGAGATGGCAGGGAGCCCTGCATCGACCTGCGGTGAGTGAGAGGAACCTTCCATAGACTAGGAGGCTCCAACAGAGGACATTCTGAGACCGGGCAGACTGGCCAGAACAGGCCGCTGCAGTGACTTTAGTCACATATTCCCCTCTCAAGCGGGATTGGTGGGGAGCACTTGAACTGGGTGATGCCATCGACTAAGACCCAGCAGGCTAGCCCAGACCAGGTCCCTGCACCTGGCAGTGCACCCTAATGCAGTGAAGCCTTCAGCAGGTTGAGTGACCTGGAGGGGCAGGCCCAGCATAGGCTGCCCTGGTCTGTGTCTCCCTAGTAGACTGCAGTGGGCAGGAACACCTAGCCAGCACAACTCAAACAAACTGTAACAGACAAAGAAAGAAACTGGGTGTCCTATATACACCTGTATGGAAGGAACAAAAAATATGAGAAGAGGAGGCAACAAGAAAGGGTCCTCGGTCCCCGTTCCTGAGAACACTGATCTAGGAAAGGGAAATGCAAAGGAGAATGAGGGCAGAAAACATGTAATATCAGGCATGGCACCAATAGACATAAAGCGGTATCTCCAGGACCTCATAGATGAGTTGAGAACTGAAGTATTTAACCAAGTAAAGCAAGATATAAGTAGAATAGTTAAAGAAATGCTGAGCACCTCCCAAGAAAAAACATATGGTGGAATGGAAGAACAGAAAAAAAGGGGAGAATTGTTTGATGGAGAAAATAGAGAAAACAGAATACATGAAGCAGGTTCAAGAGAAACTAAAAACTCTATTGAAAGCTTGCCATAACAGCTTGAAGGAAACTAAGGATAGATTATCTGAACTGGAGGACAGATTTGTAATGTGGGAGCATGAAAGGAAAAACTTCTTAAAAATAAGGAAACAAGCAGTAATAATACAAAGGCTAGAAGATGATAAGAGGATCTATAACTTAATGTAAAGGAAGAAGCAGGGATAAAACAAATGAATTGCAAAGGCTATTCACAGAAATAATCAAGGAGAACTTTCCAAATACAGGAAAAGGTAAAGATGCTCAGATGTATGAGGCATACATAACTCCAGCCACCTACAATCCAAATAGAACTACACCAAAGCATATAATAATCAACAGAAATCTAGTATAAGAACAGAATATTAAAAGCTGTCAGAGACAAGAAATAGATCACTTAAAAGGGAACACCCATCCGAATTATAGCAGACTTCTCGGCACAAACCATCAAATCATGAAGAGCATTGGGTGAAATAATTCAAGCTTTGAAAGACAATAACCTCCAGCCAAGGTTGATATATCATGCACCACTGTCCCTAGAAATTAATGGAGAAATAAGGTGCTTCCAGGATAAAGAAGAACTAGGGGAATTTGCAGCTACCAATTCAACTCTACAGAGAATACTGCAGGACATTCTAAAAGAGAAAAGTACCAAGATTCAATAAACAGTGGCAGAGAGGCCACAATGAAAGGAACAGAAAGCGAAATGGAGAAGACAAACTAACAACTAATGATAGAAAAGGAGCTCAACAGAAATGAGGCAAAGAAGGTTGGATATAATTTCTAATATAGATGGCCTAGATACACTAACATAAGGGAAAAAAGAGAATTTCAGGCAGAGTGGATCAAGAGATAGGGTCCACTGAGAGGCTCTTTATAGGAAGAAGGTTATATGGACCAAAATCAAACATGAGAAAACAGAACTCGATGTGATAGGGAACCAGAGAGTAATAGGGGTAACTAGACCAGTATTTATGGATAGGTTGAACAGACAGGCTTTAATAAATGACAAAATATAACTAGAAATCCACCCCAGGAATGAGAAAGTTCAGAAACACTTAGGTAAATAGCAGGTTGCCCCCCCCAATACAAAACCATGAGTGTTGGGGAGCCCCAAAATACATAGATCATTCTGGGGGAGTAAAGGGGAGGAATAGTCTTCCAAAAAAAAAAAAAAAAACCAGCAGAAGATATAGCTAATAGTGTATCAGGATTAAAACCCCTATTACTCACACCATTCTGCTTGGTTGGAACTTGTTCCGTCCTAGTTTGTATACAAGCACTGGAGCTGAGGGGCACAGGCAGCTGTCCATAGCACAGTGGACATCTTTAATTTCCTATTAACTCAATCAGAGTCCATGTATGACTTATACTGTTGTATCATGACTGATCTTAGTTAAATCTGACTTGATTGCTGCTTATTATTGACAGATTTTATTCAAAACTGTAAGGTTGATGGTATCAAGTTGAAGAGTATAGACAACTATACTGAAAAATGACAATGATTCACTATGATATCCATTCTGATTTGATTACTACCTGTTTTTGTAGTTCTACATTATCTACAAAGTTGTATTTCTGTTAATCCTGTTATGTATTGATATGTTCAATTACATTTTATCTGATGATGTAGCCAATTCTGTTGATGATAACAAGAAACACCACAGTGACCATGGCAGAACTCTTTATACAGCAGATTTATATGTCTTTTTAGTTTTGTATGTCTATAGGAAAAAGTTTAGTTCTGTGCTGCTTTGTTATGTTTCTCCCTCTAATATAGAAAGGATTGAAATACATGTTAAGACTCATGCTTGCGTAAAACCTATAAACAGTTTATGGGAACTGATCTGATGACACATGATAAAATGAACAAAAACTTTGAAGGGAAGAAAGTGGCACTGCAGTACCCAATCCTGATTCCAGAGTGTTATGATATGAAATCCAGCAATATTATTAATCTTTGTTCAGAAGGATTTTAATCTAATAAGTTTTGTTAGGTCTCAACATAAACGAAGATATCGATAAATGTGTACATGTCTACGTGTATAGGATTGATAGCCCTAATACTTAGTTTTTGTTGGATAGTTGAACAGAACTATTTGCAGTCTCCCTGGCTGAATTCCCATTTATATGTTCCCCCTGTGTACCTTGAACAACTCATTATAGGAGGACAATATGTATACATCAGCTAGTGATTTATTACTGTCTATTTCTTTTCTTTGAAAGTATGTACTATTTCTGCCCATTTTCTATTTTGTTTTGTCTTTCTTTAAATAAAAAAAAAACAAGGTCTTGTAAGTTTTTCTTTCCTTTGAATAAAAGAGTTTCAGTGTGTTTAATTTCCTCAGATGCTAATAGTTACATACACATCCACAGATGTCAACAATTGGTGCATCTAGATAAAGGGTCGATAAGTAATTATTACACTATTAAAACTTCTGTTGGTTTGAAATTTTTCAAAACAAAAAAAAACCTGAGAGAATATAGTTTCATATTTTCTTAAATAACCAGTGTTCCTGGGTACTTACTCAAAAGAAATGAAAACAAACACCCAACTTGAATAATTATGTCAATTTCATTAATGATTGCTAAAAACTGGCCAAACTGTGGCCATCACCTGGTAGATGAGATACATAGTACATCTATATGGTATAATACTGCTCAACTGTAAAAGAAATGAATTATTGTCTATGCAAAAAAAAAAAAAAAAGAGAGCCAAGGATGTAGTGCTTGCCTGACAAGTGCAAGGTCCTAAGTTTGGTTCCCAGTACCAAAAACAAAAAAAAAAACCAAGAGTGAATCTCGAAAGTACCATGCTAAGTAAAAAGTCAGACACAGAGGATTGACCTTGTTATTCCACTCAGTTAACATTCTAATGAAGAGAAAGCAGGTTGGTGGTTGCTAGGGGGCTGAAGTGGTGAATCTGTAGCATACATGTTATTTGTTTTTCTTTTAAGACAAAATGTTCATGTATGAGTTGTTTTTTCTAAACTAGAGCTTCAGTACTCAGGTTTGATTGCAGTGTTGGCACTTTATGATAAGTGAATTTTGGGTTCCAGTGTGGGCTCTCATCTCTAAAAGCTTCACCATTTGGAAGTAGATAGAGCAAGGCAGAATAAGGTAACGTTTCAAGGTGCCAAAATATTCTGTATCTTGATTGTGATACATACATTTGTCCATAGAATTGTAAATGCATAAAGTAGTTCTCACAGTTTTCTGTGGTTTCAGCGATGGTTTAAAAATACTAAAGGGATGGGACTTGGATTTAGCTCAGTGGCATAAGTGCCTGCCTTGCAAGCAGGTAGTCATGAGTTCGATCCCCGGTACCAATAAAAAGGAAAAAGACCAAAAAAAAAAAAAAATGCTAAAGGGAAAATTACAGAAATATTCCTAGATTTTTAATAATGTTTATTGTATATTGTTACAGTTCTTCTGTTTTATTACTACTTTTAAGCTCTTGCATATTTGGTAGGGGGCATACCAGGAATCAAACTCACAACTTCACGCTTGCCAGGCAGGCAGGTGCTACACTCCTGGCCTAAATCCCCAGCCCCTATATGTTAGATTTGATCATAGATGTGTATATGTAGGAAAAACAGTATATAAAAGGTTTGGTACTATCCATGGTTTCAGGCAACCAATAGGATACTTGGGATATATTCCTCACATAAAGGGAGACTGCCCTAAAATGGTGAGTTTTTGTACACTTAAAGTGGACCTTAAGCTAATTTCAACAAAGAGAGAAAAACAAATCCTGTTTTTTAATCAGATAAACCAAGATTAAAGGTCCCAAATCAAATTATGTTTGCTAAATGTTTTTTGTGGCTCCCATAGTAAAAAAAGATAGTTTCCCACTTTCACAAAGTGACACTACTCAATTTTTAGACATTTAGACTAATGCTCACTTCAAAGCTGTGACACATTTTTGAGTAGGTTTTGGCAAACTTTCTTGTTAAAGATCTGGATTCTAAATATGTCAGTTTTTGCACGCTATATGGTCTCTGTCACAACTGCTTGCATAATTCTAGCACCGTAACAAGGAAGTAGCCCTGAAAGATATATAAACACATAGGTGTATCCATATTTTATTGATGTTTTCCTTATAAAACAAGTATTACCGGCCGTAGATTTTTGCCTCTGTTTTTAATACTTACAAAGACATCAAACAATTACCAAAGCTAAAACTGATGAAACAAAGGTGTTTTTTAAAATACGATAATTTTCTTGTTAGGAATTAAACATGGGCCAGCGATGTTCAGATACAAGAGGAATTGTCTTTGAAGATGTAAAAGTACCTAAAGAGAATGTTTTAATTGGTGAAGGAGCTGGTTTCAAAATTGCAATGGGAGCATTTGACAGAACGAGACCTGCAGTAAGTAATAGGAATTGATAATCTTTATAGATTTTTCATCTGTTACATTAAATAATGTTTTATTTCAACATTGTGTGCTTGTGTTTTTAAAAACCTTATTTTAGTAAGGGTGGAAAAGATAGTATTACTTTTATATTTATAATTCTTTTTGCTGCTTATTATAGAAATAATTTTAGCAAATGCAAAATTAATGTAGTTTCAGCTAGATCTACAGAGAGCAGTATACTATACACTTAATTTCATCATTCCTGTTAACTATGTGCTTATTTTTTATTTCTTCACTCATGAATATTTCCCTTGGAAGGCTTCTCTTGTTAAACAGACAAGTGACTGACTTCTGTCTTGGCTGTGATCCTGTGTCTGTCATTACCTTTTTTTTACCCAGTGCTAGGAGTCAAGCTCAGGGCCTCAGACATGCTACATGTGTATTTACCATTGATCTACATCTCAGCCCTTGCCCATACTTACGATTTATAAATAGCATGTTTCAGTGTTTGTCTTACTTTAAGCTATAGATTATTTTCTTGTTATATAGCCCTTAATTTTGAATCTTAGGGAACTAACTATTTACTGTATATCTTAAAGATAACACAAACTTTTGCTTATAAACTTAATCCTAGGTAGCAGCTGGTGCAATTGGATTAGCACAAAGAGCTTTGGATGAAGCTACCAAGTATGCTCTACAAAGGAAAACTTTTGGAAAGTTACTTGTGGAGGTAACTTTAATTTTGTGCTTGTTTAATACTCCTTTTCATCCAAATATTTAGGAATTATTATTTTTTATTAGGAATTATTTTTAAAATAAAAAATATTTATTATTCTCTCCCCTAAAACTCATTGACCCTGTGATGGTGGTTTTCAAACTATCTGTGATGAAAGACCAGTTTGTTTTTAATTTCCAATCAGTTGCAGACCATTATGTTTGTAAAATGTTAACCTAAGCTGAATGAGAGGCTGAGTCTCCCGAAGAGTTTGAGACTAGCGCGTGATTGCAGGTTGGGTCATGTCGTGTGGCACATCTCAGGGAGCTGAGGCAAAGAGAAACTCTTAAAGATGAAAAGAGGTGTCTATATAAGGTCTTTTGAAACAAATACCACTAATTATAGGGGCTTGTAGTCACTGATGGAAAAAGATATTGCAGGGCAAGGATCCTTGTTAGATAGAACAGCCTATGTTTTAGGGAATATTGAGACCCAAATCATATCAGTATCCATTAATACTTTTTGAGCTTTGAACTAATTTAATCATTCAGAAAATGAAGTTAAATTGAAAGAAAAACAACTTTGAAAGAATCTTGGGCTTAGATGTTCAGTGAAGCCGGGCATGGTGGCACATGCCTGTAATCCCAGCACTAGAGAGGTTGAGGCAGGAGGATCATTGTGAGTTCAAGACCAGCCTGGGCTACAAAGTGAGCTCAAGGCCAGCCTGAACTGCATAGTGAGACCCTGTGTCAAAAAGAAAAAAAAATTTTACAGTGATTAAAACAGCATGGTACTTGCACAAAGACAGAAATGTGAATCAGTGGAATAGACTAGAGGAAGCAGAAATGTCCCACACACATTCATCTATTTGATCTTTAACAAGGGGCCAAAAACAAACACTAGAGAAAAAAAGGTAGTCTGTAAGAAATGGTGCAGGGAAAATTGGATCTTTACATGCAGAAAACTGAGTCTAGATCTATATATCTTACCATTTACTAAACTAAAATCAAAATGGATCAGAGATTAAATTTAAAGCAGGAGCAATGTGCTGAAAGATAGAGTAGGGAAAACTTTTGAAGACATAGTCATAGGCAAGGACTTTCTGCACAGAACCCTAATGGTATAAGAAATAATACTAAGGATCAAATGGTTAACAAAGTGGATCAACAAAAGTTAAAAACTCAAAAAATTAGATTCCTGAAAGTCAAAAAACGGGCAACTGAAATGAATAGACACGTCTCAGAAGTACAGATGGCCAATAAATATCTGAAAAAAGGTTCAACATCAGTGGCCATTAGAGAAGAACAGATTATCATCATGACATAAAATAATAAAAAATGTTGATGAAACTGTGAGGGAAAAAAGAATCCTTCTGCATAATGTGGATGGGGATATAAACTAGTGCATCCAACCACTATGGAGATTCCTGAAAAAACTATAAAAACAAATTCCATTCAATCCAGCTATTCCCCTAGGAACATTCCCAGATGAGTTAAAGTCATCATGTTACAGTGATACATGTGTACCTGTGTTTATAGCAGCACAATTTATAATAGCTAGATGTTAGGAATAATGTATATACCCATCACTAGGTGGGTGGGTGAAGAAAATGTGTTATGTGTACACAGTGGAATACTGCTCTGCTACAGGATAAACTTGAGGTATTTGTAGATAAATGAATGTACCTCAAGACCATAGCGTTAAATAAGTCCGACACAAAAATTTAAATATCATATTGTTTCTCTTATATGAGAAATCCAAAATATAAATAAAGAACAAAACAAAGGATAGATAATAAAAAGTAGGGAGATCTTTTTCAAATGAGAAGGGGAACCAGAGTTGGATATGTACATGTACAAACTCCCATTGATAAATGTAATCATGTACTGTAAACTTGTATTAATAAAAAGTTTTTGTAAATCCTTAGAAAAGTGTGTGTGTTAGAGCTAAGTAGAAATAAGGAAAGACATTACCCTCCCTGTTGTTCATGACAGTTATTCACTCTGGTTAGCTATGTCTCCCGTAAGACCTACTTCGTGTGCTGGTCTCAAGCACCTTGTCACATTCAAAAGCAATACAATCAGGTTTGTGTTACCAAATACAGTGTATGTATGAAGTTGACCAGATGTATTCGTTGCGGGTTTTTTATGGCCTCTGGTTCACCTTAGTATATATTCAGCCATAGAATTTGTGGCTTATATAACACCTGTGTCATCAGATCCATTTTGATATTGCTTCCTATATGAAGTGAGTTTAATTAACATTAATTGTTTCTAAATATCTACAAGACTGCTTTTTTATTTGTAATTCATTCATTCATGTATTGGCACTAGGTATTGAACCCAGGGCCTTTGTAATAAATTGCATCCACAACCTGTTAAGTTTATTCAGAGTCAGGGTCTTGCTAAGTTGCTGAGTTGCAACTGAGAACTGGTCATAATGGCACACACCTATAATTCCATCCCTTGATCACTGCGAGTTCAAGGCCAGCCTGGGCTACATAGTGAGTTCAAGGCCTAAATTATATGGTGAAACCCTATCTCAACACCCTGGCATCCACCAAAAAGTCGTAGAAGAAAAATATGTAACTTCTGTCATTAGACACCCGTAATCTGTTTCTTTTTAATTCTAGCACCAAGGAGTATCATTTTTGCTGGCAGAAATGGCAATGAAAGTTGCACTAGGCAGATTAAGCTACCAGAGAGCAGCTTGGGAAATTGATGCTGGTCACAGAAATACCTTTTATGCCTCTATTGCAAAGGCATATGCTGGAGATATTGCAAATCAAGTAGCTTCTGATGCTGTGCAGATATTTGGAGGCAATGGCTATAATTCAGAATATCCAGTGGAAAAATTAATGAGGGATGCCAAGATCTATCAGGTAAACTTAAAATGGACTTTTGTGTATTAGAATATTCATAAATCACAGTGGAATGCTAGGGATTTAACTCAATTTCTTAAGTGCCTGCCTGGCAAGCATGAGGTTGTGAGTTCAATCCCTAAAAAAAAAAAAAAAAAAACCCACAGTGCATTTCTAATTATTCAGGGATTTTATGCTACAGGAATAATAAATGATTATCATAATGACTGTGAGCCAGTTTTTGGAACTGCTACATGAAGGATGTTATTTTTGTCAGGTATGGTGGAGCATACCTGTAACTCTGGTGCTAGGGAGGTTAATGAGGTATGAGGATCACCAATAGTTCAAGGCCAGCCTGAGCTACATAGCAAGACTATGTAATAAAACTACAATAATAAAGAATGTTATTTTTGTCGAAGTTTAGGTCTTAAAAGGAAATAGTCCACAGAGTAAGAGATGTAGACTTGCATATTGTGTCTGGATCAACCTCCTTTGAGTTTTAACATTCTTGTTAATTGTGGCCTATATTTTGCACTCCAAAAAGTGTGCATGCCACTTGAAATTATTCATTTTGAATGTTGCCCAACAGCTGTCATTTCATTGAAATTATAGTTGATGTTGAAAGCTAACATGAGAAGATAGTGATATTTGGCTTCTCAATTAAAGTGGTGTTTAGAAAAACTTAGATAAAAGAAATTTAGCCAAAAGTAATCACCCAACATGGTGATGCATGCCTGTAATTCTGGTGAATTTGAGGACAGCGTGCACTAGGTCATGAAACACTGTCTGAAGAAACCAAAAGAAAGGAAGAAAATAGAAAAGCAGAGAGAAGGAAAATACGAATTTTTTAACAACTGTTTCTAAGGCAGCAAAAGCGGGGGGCGGGGGAGGGGGGTGAAAAAGAAAGGAAACCAGAATAATAAAAACAAAATGACTAGGATGACAACTAAGAACAGTTCCCAAAAAAGCTGGATGAGTTTTTGGGGAACATTAAATTTTCATTGTCTCAAATTTTTTAAAGGGGTAAATAAGCTTTTCCTTTTCCTTTTGAAGATTCTTCCCCAAGTTTTGGTAAAGTACCTTTTTATAATTACAGTACTTTAATAGGTTTTAGACTCTATAGGTTACAGATTATATGTGGTTTGCCTCAGTTTAATACTACAATAGAACTTAACACTATTATCCAAACTATTGAATAAATCAAGCTGTCTGTGTACTGTAGATATTTAATCTCCCTTTATATTTTTCTTGCAGATTTATGAAGGTACTGCCCAAATTCAAAGGCTCATTATAGCCCGTGAACATATTGGCAAGTATACAAGTTAGGACATTACTGTAGAGATTAAAAAACATGATGATTCACTGTAAACGAGAGATTGTAAAACATACATAATTCTTGAAAAACTAGCACATGGTCGACTACCTGTACTTCAGAAAAGAGAAAGGGCTTTAACATTGTTCTGATGCTTATATAAATCTATGCAGCTCATTCTAAGACTAGTTTGTACTTTTGTACAAACAATGATTTTCCTTTTTTAAAACAGATTTGTTTTCATTAAAAGTATATGTTGTCCTTAGCACCACTATCGTTCAGTAATCATAACCTAGAAAAACCATTGTATCATCTGTGTCTCTATAACAGTAATATTTTAGAATTCTGGTAAGTTTCCAGTGACAGAAATTGAGCTTATCAGGAATTCAGAGAATGTTCTAAAATTTACAGTTAGAAAACACTACAGGATCTGGATACTGTCAAACAACTTACCAAAGATTTAATGGTATTACTGTATCAAGGGAATTTATTTTGCAATTTGGAATGAATTTTCTTTTAGCTTTACCTCATAAAAGAATTTCTTGAAAATGTGGACACTATTGAGTCCACATTTCATTGGCTTTATTTTCAAATACTAAAGCTTGCCTTAAATTATTTTATATGACTGTTGGCCTCTGTGTAACTTTTGATCTATTGTATACAGTAGCCATTTTCATTCTGAAAAGGAACTGAAATAAAATTATCTTTCATTGCTTAATAGTGTACCTTCGTGTATTTTTTCCAGAAAGTTTTATCTCATGTATTTTTTCTTACGAAAAGTGGAACTTTTTTAAAACTTTGAACTACATAAAGTTTTGCTGATGTTTCATTATAAAGTCCTTAGAAAATATAAATATGAAATAATTAAGAACCAAAACTTGTGAATTTAATGATTCTTTATAACTCTAAATACTAAATACTACAAAACTCCTAGTACGTTTTCTGACACTACTTGTGCTTCTTCATCCTTGTTAGGAACTGTGGGCTACATTTCAGTTCTGTCCTGATAGGACCCAGTGCCAGACTGTGTCCCCAGTCTGCACTTGCTTCAGAGCCAGTGTGAGTCCCAGTCTGCCTATACTCAGTCTAGGATGGCTACAAATCAGGAATTCCTGTGAACCCAGCTTCAAGCTTAATAATTTGCTAGAATGGTTCACAGAACTCAGGAACTTTATTTGTACTTTAATAACTCATGTACTTTGTTTACTTATTTAGTAACTCATGTACTTTATTAGTTTACTTATTACAAAGGGCACAAGTCAGGAATAGCCGTGGAAGCAATGCAAAGGCAAGGTCTGGTGGCAGGCAAGAGCACTGCACACAGCTGCTCTGCAGTCTCCCAGCATGCCCCAGCAACTCTTTCTTAACCTGGCAGCTTCTTGAACTTGTTCATTCTCTATTCTTCCTCACTTCCCAAGAGGATAAGCTGAAGTTCTCACATGGGATTAGCCTATTAGGGCTGCCATTAAAAAAATACTGTAGAGTAGGTGGCATGATTAGAAATATATTTTCTCACAATTCTGGACACTAAGTCAAAGTGCCTTTAAAGTTGCTTCTTGTTGAAGCCTCTTCCTGTCTAGAGAACTTCACCTTCCTGCCATGTCCTCTTCTTACAAGCAGAGTTGGTTTGGCGGAGCACGGGTGTGTTTTCTTATAAGGTATGATGGTTGACTGTGTCAACTTGAGTAAATAACATTCAGCTGGATTGGCTCGCATAGTTCTAGCTGTGGAAGACTCACTCTAAGGATTATACCAGAATGGTGTGAAAGGGAAATAAAAAAGGAAGGCTCACTTCTGTTTCTTCAGGGGAGCTCCAGTCTTCACTTTCACCTGGGATGTCTCTCCCGGCTTCTAGTGCACTCTTCAGCCTGCAGCATCAATTCTTCAACTTCCAGATGTGGACTCATGGGGCCATTACACTGAACTCCAGGCCTTCAATGACATCCTTCAGGTCCCCAGTGCCCAACAGAACTTTTGCTATCTTTCACACCCGGCTCCCAGCACTCAGGAGACTGAAGCAGGAGGGTCGCTGCTATTTCGAGGCCAGCCTAAGCTACATAATGAGTTCAAGACCAGCCTGAATTACATAGTGTGACCCTGAATTACATAGTGTGACCAAAAACTAAAAATAAAAAGTTGCTTCAGTCAAGAAATTCAAAGCATTTTAGGAGCTCTGAGCCAGGAACTTGGGACAAAGACTGAATATTTATTATATCACACTTAATTGCTAAAATAATCTTTTATGAAAATGTTACTTTTATGACTTTCATGTTCAGTATTGATATTTTAACAGCACAGCTAAAGATTTGGTAAAATGTATACTTGAGTGTTACATAGGAATTACAAGTAGACTATATGTTTCAAATGCAGATTTGAATTTGTGATACAAAATCCAAAAATTTACCAATTTAACGCTTCTAGACATTATATAAATGTACTCCAAAACCATAGAATGAAAATATTAACGTTCTTAGTATTAAGTAGTCGTATCAGTTCCAACTTTTTAATCACAAGAAATGATTTTAAGCAAGAAAGAAAATAATGTGCAATATTTTAAGCCTACTGAATGCTTCTGGATCTGAAGGAGAGGGATGGAATCAATTACAAAAAGGAACAGTAACCAGAATAATTAGTGAGTTTATTTTCTTTCTTCTCTTGTTTGTTAAGATGGGCTCTTACTACATAATCCAGGTTGACCTTTGAACTCACTATGTAGCCCACACTTGCCTTGAATTTACAATCCTGTGTCAGCTCTCAAGTATTAGGATTATAGGAACGTGCCACTATACTCACTGGAATAGTCAATGTTGTTTTTGAATTAACACAAGTAGGTAGTAACAAAATATAAACTGTTCTATGAATAAAATAATTCATAATACACTGTTCTATGAATAAAATAATTTCCATAACAAAATAGAGGCTAACAATGGTTAATACACTGTAAATCTTGAAATTTAAAGAATGGCCAAAATGTTAAAGTCAGGTGGGAAAAAAAAAACTGTCTTACAAAGAAGCAGCAAACAAAAAACTTTTCAGTGAATAAAATAGTATAAAGGAAACATTAACATATGCCTTTAAAATATTACTGAATTAACAATTTGGGTAATTATGTGAACTCCTACTTGCACATATGTGTGTGTGTGTGTGTATTTATATACAGAGAGTTTATTAAAGAAGTCATGTATTTAAGTTTGTATTGCTGAGTTACTTTGTTTTGAGGTTACATCCATTTGCCTATGAATGCCTAAAGTTCATAACAGAATAGTACTCTGTTACATATGAATACCACATTTTATTTATCCATTCATCTATTGATGGATCATACATGCTGTTGCCAAGATCAAGCAGTTAAAAATTTGTGCTGCTATTGGGACATGAGTATGCATGTATTCCTGTAATATGATGATCTTAACTCTTTTAAAGAAGATATCCTAGAAGGATAGCCAGGTCAAATAGAATTCCTGTTGTTAGTTTTTTGAGGTATCTCCATGCTGATTTCCATATTGCTTTTACTGATTTACATTCCCACCAACAATGTAGAAGGGTTCCTTTTTCTCTACATCCTCATCAGCATTTGTTACTTGATTTTTGAATGATGGCCATTTTTTCTAGGGTAAAAGTATCTCAATGTGGTTTTAGTTTGTATTTCTCTAACACCAGCAATATTGAACATTTTTAACATTTTTTTCACCATTTGTACTTCTTTGGAGAAGTGTCTGTTCATTGTAGTTGCCTGCCATTTTTTGGTTGGTTATTTTATTTTGGAGGGTCTAGGTTTTTGAGTTTTTCATATATTCTACATGTTAGTCCTCTGAGAAATAGCTGACAAAAGTTTTTTTCCCATTCTGTAAGTTGTCTCTTCACTCTTAGTTTCCTTTGCTATGTAGTAGCTTTTCAATTTGACAAAATCCCATTTGTTGATCCTTGTTATTTTTGTGTTGTACTGTTGGGATTCTGTTCAGAAGGTCTTTACCTACAGCTGTGTCTAATATACAGATTTTACACAACCGAAGTCAAAATACCAACAGCATTTCTCATAGACCTCAAAACAACCCTAAAATTCATGTGGAACCAGAAGAGACCCAAATTAGCAAAAAACAGGCATGTGGCTTAATGGAACAAAAGAGGAAGCAGAAACGATCCCAGGCACATTCAGCTAGCTATTTCATCTTTGACAAAGGGGCCAAAGACACTGGAGTAAAGACAGCCTCTAATAGTGCTGGGAAAATTAGATATGTACATGAAGAATAAGTGAATACCCATATACTTTACCATACACTGAACTAAACATGGATCAAAGATCTAACTGTAAAAACAATTTTCTGGAAGATAAAGTAGGTAGAATGCCCAAAGAATAGTCGATCTTGAGAAGTCCATGACTTAGAATTTTTCTATTCCATCATCTTTCTTTCCTCCCTCCCTTCCCTCCTCTGTAGTCTGGATTTCTTTGCTACTTTGATCCCACAATAGTGTAAGATTCTACTATGGCATATTTATATACTCAGTTGACAACTAGAACCATAAACAGACTGTCTAGGTCCTTTTACTGCCTGAAAGTGTCAAGGAATACAAACTGATTTTTTAGTTCCTTACCTCCTGATTGGTTCTAAAACCAAGAGGTTAAAATGGACCTTTAAAAATTAGACTTTTTTTAAAAGAGATAAGCTACTTCTGCATAAAGCACCACCCCTTTTCTTCTCAATCCAGATGAATGGTCAGAAAAGTAACACCTGAAGCACAAAACGGGTGGTCTGTCTGAAAGGCATATGTAGATGTGTCCCCTGACACAAGAGATCACCTCTGGTTTATTTACCACAAGGGTCAGAAGGAACAAGAAGGGCAAGGAGATGCAGCAACTTGGTAGCTTCTCTGTCTCCTAATTCACTATGTTCCTTCCCTCTCTTCCTTGCACTAAAAGCCTTTGTGCACTTGAACAAGGAGACAAAGATTGGGAGCATAACTATTTCCTGGAGAAAGCATGGTTTTTCATGAGACAGTGCATGTATGGCAATTTTAATCTGTATTTAAGGAAGCTACCATCAGTTTGCATAAAGGGAGAAGAGATTATTTCCAAATTCCTTTGGATTAAAAAAATGGCGGGGGGCGGGGAACAGGGATTTAGATCAGCAATGTAAGCCCCTGTCTGGTAAGCATGAGGCTGTGAATTGGAACCCCAGTACCAAAAAAAAAAAAAAAAAAAAAAAAAAAAAAAATCCAAATGTTGTGGTACATGTGTATAATCCTAGCATTCGATTATATTTTTCCAAAATTTAAACTTTATGTAGACATTCAATTATTCGACAAAATACCAATATAAAAGTTGTAGCAAATCAGACTAATAGTTCAATTAAAAATTAAGTACTTTCAAGATTGGGGATATAGCTCAGTGATAGAGAATTATGCTTAGCATTTTTAAGGTCTTGAGTTCAATCTCCAGCAACAATAACAAAAATATTACTAGGTATGGTACTAAATGTTTTTGTTTGAGCTGCTGTAACAAAATACTATAGAACAATGGCTTATCAATTATATAAACATTCCTCATAGTTCTGAAGGCTGGCATTCTGTAATTAGGATGCCAGCATGGTTCGGTTTTAGTGAGAGTCTACTTTCAGGGCAATCTCTTGCAGTATTCTTACCTAACACTAAGAAAAGAACAGTAGGTCTTTAGCCTCTGATTAGGGCCCAAATCCCATCCTTCAGGGCTCTACCCTTACT